TCAATAAATTTAATTCTTAAAAATTCTTTATATTTTGATAAGCTGAATTTAATTAAATATTATATTTAATCTAAAATAACTTTTTTTTATTGATATAAAATAAATATATTAAGCCTATTTTAATATTTAAATTTTAAATGATTTATGAAAAAAAATTTTAATAAACAAAAAATTATAAAATTTTAAGGCCAACCAACTCAACATAAATCTACAACGATACCTAAATATGTCCAAGTGCTTTAATTTTCTATTTGTTTAAAATAATATATTGTTTACTTTTTCTAAAATTAATAAATATATATATCTAAATATTCAAATTTGTCTAAATTATTTTATTAAATAAATATTTAAAATTCACAATATATCTCTAAATAAATATCTTGTTTTACTAATAAAAATAATTGAAATCTAAAACAATTTATACAAATTTTTATATACTGTAAGTTCTCATACTGTAAATGCTCTTTAATTAAGGCATTCATTCCCTAAGTATCTTTTTAGCCCAAAAAAAATTAATTACAAAGAATATTTTAAACATCTGGCTAACTAACTAACTAACTACCCATCTTTAATCCCTAATAATTTATTTTTAAGTAAATGCTTTAAATAGAAATATTAAGATTAAATAATTAATTAATGTTAAACTAAATTTTTTGTGAAATATCTTCCTAAAATCAAATTTATTAATTAATTTGGATAATTATTAAATTTTATTTGTTCTTTTAATCCGTTTATAATTAATTAAATTTCCATAAATTGCTATTCAATATTTTTGAAAAAAATAAGTAAATAAATAAATGATATAATAGATTAAATATTAAGACGAATTAGAAGAAGTAAATTTTTATTTTTTATTTATATCCTTCAAATCTATTTTTATTAATAAAAAAAGTTTTTAAACTCATCATTTTAATCTCATTAGATTCTCCATATTAATCTGAAGTAAATTTAATTTATGAATATTATTATCTCTATTTATTTTTTATATATTTAGCATTCAATTTATTTTTCAATAATAAAAATTCTCATCTATATTTAATTTTCACTTTGAATTCTGAATAATTCATTATTCACTTTTTATTATTCAATATTTTTATTCATTTTTTGCTATTAACACTTATACTTGATAAAAACAAACAGTTTATTTGTATTAGATTGCAATATTTATAAATATAAAAATTAATTTAAAACAATAAAGCACTTTTAATCTATCTTTCTTTATTTTTTTATCTTCTTTATTTGTTAATTTAAATCATTTTTAAATTAATTTTCACCTTTTATATTTTTTTTCAATATTTAAAAAGTGACCAGAAAATTGGAGATAAAGGGGCATTAAGCTTATGTTCAGGTTTATCAAATTGCATTAATCTCTCAAATTTAACACTTGAACTTAAGTAAAATTTATTTGTTTTAAATTGTGATATTTATAATTATAAAAATTAATTTAAAAAAATAAAGCTCTTTTAATTAATTTGATTTATTTTTATTTTTGTACTTTTTTTGTTAATTTAACTCATTTTTTTATTTTCACCTTTTGAATTTATTATTATTATTAATGAATTCATTTCATGTTCATTTTTTCCTTCTAATTTAATTATTATATAATTCAATATTTAAAAAGTGAAAATAAAATTGGTTAAGAGGGTTCATCAGGTTTAAGTTCTGCTTTAGCAAATTGCACTAAACTCTAGAATTTCACACTTGATCTTGGGTAAAAATAGTTTATTTGTTTAAGATTGTGATATTTTTAATTATAAAAACTAATTTAAAAAAATATAGCTCTTTAAATTTATTTGATACCTTTTTATTTGGCTTATTTTTTCTTTTTTTCTTTCTTTTTTGTTTGTTAATTTAAATCATTTTTTATTTTCACTTTTTGCTTTTATTATTAATTAATTTCCTTCAAAATAATAAATTAATTATATATTTTTTATTCAATATTTAAAAAGCTACAATTAAATTGGTGCAATAGGTGCATCAGACTTAGGCTCTGCTTTAGCAAATTGCACTAATCTCTCAAATTTGACACTTGATCTTTTGTAAAAATAGTTTATTTGTTTGGATTGTGATTTTTTATTTATTTAGAAAAATTAATTGAAGCAAAAAAGCTGTTTTATATTGTTATTAGATTTATTTTTTTGTCTTTCTTTCTTAATTGAAATGATTTATTTATTTATTTATTTTCACCTTTTGTTTTTATTGTTAGTTTCTTACTATTTCATATTTTCTTTCATTTTTCCTTAAAATTAACTAATTAATTTTTTATTTTTTCTTCAATTTTTAAAAAGTTACAATAAAATTGGTGATAAAGGTGTATTAGGCTTAAGTTCTGCTTTAGCAAATTGCACTAATCTCTTAAATTTGAATCTTTAACTTAAGTAAAAACAGTTTATTTGTTTTGGAATGTGAAAATTTTAATTATAATAATTTATATAAAACAATAAAGCTCATTTAATTTTATAGCTTTTTATTTGATTTCTTTTTCTTTTTTTCTTCTTTCTTTGTTAATTTAACTCATTTTTTTTATTTTCACCGTTTGCTTTTATTAGTAATTAATTAATTTCTTATAATTTCATATTTTTTCTACATTCACTTTCTTCAAATTAATTAATTAATTTTATTTTTT